TGTGTGTGTCTGTGTGTGTGTGACTGTGTGTGTCTCTGTCTGTGTGTCTCTTTGTGTGTGTCTGTGTCTCTGTGTGTGTGTGTCTGTGTGTGTGTGAATGTGTGTGTGTGAATGTGTGTGTGTCTCTGTGTGTGTGTGAATGTGTGTGTGTCTGTGTGTGTGTGTCTCTGTGTGTGTGTCTGTGTGTGTGTCTCTGTGTGTGTGTCTCTGTGAGTGTGTGTGTCTCTGTGAGTGTGTGTGTCTCTGTGAGTGTGTGTGTGTCTGTGTGTGTGTGTCTGTGTGTGTGTGAATGTGTGTGTGTCTGTGTCTCTGTGTGTGTCTCTGTGTCTATGTGTCTCTGTGTGTCTCTGTGTGTCTGCGTGTGTCTCTGTGTGTCTGCGTGTGTCTCTACGTGTGTCTCTGCGTGTGTCTCTGTGTGTCTGTGTGTCTCTACGCGTGTGTGACTGTCCCCACTGATTGGGGTGAGACGGGGTCTGAGCGGTGTTCGGTTCTTCGTCCCCGGTGACCCCGCTCGAGTGGTGGGTGAGTCACTGACACACAGACACAGGCAGAGCTCCCCCGGGTAGCCTCAGGCAGGCTCTAGGGGCAAGTGCTGGTACACGAAGACACACTCAATCAGCCACTCACTCAGACACTCACTCGGCCACTCACTCACTTAGACACTCACTCAGACACTCAGACACTCACTCATTCACTCAGCCACTCACTCACTCAGACACTCACTCAGACACTCACTCAGCCACTCACTCACTCAGCCACTCAATCACTCACTCACCCACTCAGACACTCACTCATTCACTCAGACACTCACTCACTCAGACACTCATTCACTCATTCACTCAGACACTCACTCACTCAGACACTCACTCAGACACTCATTCACTCATTCACTCAGACACTCACTCAGACACTCACTCAGACACTCATTCGCTCAGACACTCACTCAGACACTCACTCACTCAGTCACTCACTCAGACACTCACTCAGACACTCACTCAGACACTCAGACACTCACTCACTCAGACACTCACTCAGACACTCACTCACTCAGACACTCACTCAGACACTCACTCAGACACTCACTCACTCAGACACTCACTCAGACACTCACTCACTCAGACACTCACTCAGACACTCAGACACTCACTCACTCAGACACTCACTCAGACACTCACTCACTCAGACACTCACTCAGACACTCACTCAGACACTCACTCACTCAGTCACTCACTCAGACACTCACTCAGACACTCACTCAGACACTCAGACACTCACTCACTCAGACACTCACTCAGACACTCACTCACTCAGACACTCACTCAGACACTCAATCAGACACTCAGACACTCACTCAGCCACTCACCCACTCACCCATTCAGCCACTCACACACTCAGCCACTCACTCACTCAGACACTCACTCACTCAGACACTCACTCATTCACCCACTCACCCAGACACTCACTCAGCCACTCACACATTCAGCCACTCACTCAGCCACTCAGCCACTCACTCAGCAACTCACCCAGACACTCACCCACCCACCCACTCACACACAGTGCGCTAACCACTGCGTCACCACTCCCCACCCACACACACAGTGCGCTAACCACTGCACCACCACTCCCCACTCCACACACACAGTGCGCTAACCACTGCACCACCACTCCCCACCCACACACACACAGTGCGCTAACCACTGCACCACCACTCCCCACTCTCACACACACATAGTGCGCTAACCACTGCACCACCACTCCCCACACACAGTGCGCTAACCACTGCACCACCATTCCCCACACACACTCACACAGTGCGCTAACCACTGCACCACCACTCCCCACCCACACTCACACAGTGCGCTAACCACTGCACCACCACTCCCCACACACACACACAGTGCGCTAACCACTGCACCACCACTCCCCACACACACACACACAGTGCGCTAACCACTGCACCACCACTCCCCACACACACACACACAGTGCGCTAACCACTGCACCACCACTCCCCACACACACACACACAGTGCGCTAACCACTGCACCACCACTCCCCACCCACACACACACAGTGCGCTAACCACTGCACCACCACTCCCCACACACACACATACAGTGCGCTAACCACTGCACCACCACTCCCCACCCACACACACAGTGCGCTAACCACTGCACCACCACTCCTCACCCACACACACACACACAGTGCGCTAACCACTGCACCACCACTCCTCACCCACACACACACACAGTGCGCTAACCACTGCACCACCACTCCTCACCCACACACACACACAGTGCGCTAACCACTGCACCACCACTCCCCACACACACACACAGTGCGCTAACCACTGCACCACCACTCCCCACTCACACACACACAGTGCGCTAACCACTGCACCACCACTCCCCACACTCACACACACACAGTGCGCTAACCACTGCACCACCACTCCCCACACACACACAGTGCGCTAACCACTGCACCACTCCCCACCCACACTCACACAGTGCGCTAACCACTGCACCACCACTCCCCACTCACCCACACTCACACAGTGCGCTAACCACTGCACCACCACTCCCCACACACACTCACAGTGCGCTAACCACTGCACCACCACTCCCCACACACACTCACAGGTCCTTCATGATGGTGAGCAGAGGGTCAGGGACTCCGAAAGCACGAAGAACAACCCAGAGCCCAGTGCCTACCGATGGTATCTTAGGCCTTGACCAGGTCAACAAAGCAGAGATGTCGGTCTTGTTGGAATTCCCTACAAACTCTGCTGTAGCAGACGGACAGACAAGTATAACCCTTAAAAACAAAGATTTTCACTCTAAATCCTTTATATGCGTGGCGGCTAGAGTCCTCTCGTCCTCTGGCTTGAGATGGCTGCCACCTATGGGTCAGATGATTGCCTGCCAGCATTAAGCAATTGGTAATTAAATATAATTTTTTTGTCCTAAAAAGTGTAACATTTTGGAAATGAAATTTCACGAACATTAATTGTCACGCACAACGAGTCTGTGTGCAAAATGTCAGCTCGATTGGATCACAGGAAGTGGGTTAAAAAACGACCGAAAGATTTGCACGGTCCTAAGCAAGCAAGCAAGCGAACTTAATATAAAGGATTTAAAAACAAAGTTTGTAAATCCTTTATATTGCGTGGCATCGGGGCGGCTAGAGTCCTCTCGTCCTCTGGCTTGAGATGGCTGCCACCTATGGGTCAGATGATTGTCTGGCAGCATTGAACAATTGGTAATTAAATATATATGTATATTTTTCCCTAAACAGTGTAAAATTTTGGAAACATTTTTTCACGAAAATGCATTGTCACGCACAACGAGTCTGTGTGCAAAATGTCAGCTCGATTGGATCACGGGAAGTGGGTTAAAAAACGACCCAAAGATTTGCACGGTCCTAAGCAAGCAAGCAAGCGAACTTAATATAAAGGATTTAATAAAGAATTTAATAATATGGCATCTGTGCAGGACCGCACTTTCCTGAAACCGCATTGGGGCTCCGCAAGCCTCTCCTCAGCGTGCCTAGCAAGGCGATGTTGAATAATCCTTGCCAGGATCTTTCCCGGTCTCACACTGCGGAGTGAGATGCCCCTGTAGTTGTTACAGTCTGTGCGGTCCCCCTTCTTAAAGAGGGGGACCACCAGGGCATCCTTCCAATCCTGTGGAACCCGTCCAGTGAATGGCAGGCGCATCTTACAGATGACTAGTCGATGGTCAGAGGGCAGATCAGCTCCACGGTAGGTCCTGGTGTCAAGGACATGGGCTCGCATCCGCTGGTCCGTCACTACGTAGTCCAGCAGATGTTCTTGCTTGGACCCGCCATGCATCCACGATGTTGTGTGGATGGTCCTGGTGTCAAGGACATGGGCTCGCATCCGCTGGTCCGTCACTACGTAGTCCAGCAGACGTTTTTGCTTGGACCCGGCATGCATCCATGATGTTGTGTGGATGGTGCTGGTGTCAAGGACATGGGCTCGCATCCGCTGGTCCGTCACTACGTAGTCCAGCAGATGTTCTTGCTTGGACCCGGCATGCATCCACGATGTTGTGTGGATGGTCCTGGTGTCAAGGACATGGGCTCGCATCCACTGGTCCGTCACTATGTAGTCCAGCAGATGTTCTTGCTTGGACCCGGCATGCATCCACGATGTTGTGTGGATGGTCCTGGTGTCAAGGACATGGGCTCGCATCCGCTGGTCCGTCACTACGTAGTCCAGCAGACGTTCTTGCTTGGACCCGGCATGCATCCATGATGTTGTGTGGATGGTCCTGGTGTCAAGGACATGGGCTGCACAAAAATCTAGCAGCCTCCTACCGTTATTATTGAGCTGATCTGGCCCATGCCTTCCAATCACTCCAGACCAGGTGTCAGCATCATGACCAACTCGGGCATTGAAGTCATCCAACAAGATGACTCTGTCCCAAGGGGCCATTTTAGCATCCGATCTGGGGCCAATCGCAATTGGCCCTTGCACTTCTCCCCCAAGGTGGTGGAGGTGGTGGTGGAGGTAGAGGTGGTGGTGGAGGTGGTGGTGGAGGGGGTGGTGGGGGCGGTGGTGGTGGAGGTGGTGGTGATGGTGGTGGTGATGGTGGAGATGGTGGTGGAGGTGGTGGTGGGGGTGGAGGTGGTGGTGGAGGTGGTGGTGGTGGTGGTGGTGGAGATGGTGGTGGAGGTGGTGGTGGTGATGGTGGTGATGGTGGAGATGGTGGTGGAGGTGGTGTAGGTGGTGGTGGTGGTTGTGGTTGTGGTGGTTGTGGTGATGGTGATGATGGTGGTGGTGGTGATGATGGAGGTGGTGCTGGTATCGTGTGCACAGAAATGCCGCCTTGAATAAATTATGTTAATCGCTGCATAAATTATGTTAATCGCTGCATAAACTATGTTGAACGCTGCATAAATTTTGTTAATCTATGCATATATTATGTTAATTATTATGTTAATATCGGTGACGTCATCTCCCACACCAGCAGGGTCAGACAGCCCTCTGGCACGTGAGTGAACGCACGTTGCCACCACCACCACCACTACTGTTTTCTCAACATTTTAAATGAAATTAAGCCGCCCGCTATTTTAAAAACGACTTCGCGTGCACCCTGGAGCCAGGCCCGTCACGTTTTAAACTTTTTTTTGTTGAAATTGAACTAAAATTTTTTTTACGAACTAGGCCTCTTACGGGCCCTACCGCGCTTGCCTAGAAGCGCTGCGGGAAATTGGCGTTGGGACCCCGCAGGCCACTGAGGGTGGTAGGGGGGTCGGTCGTGAAATTAGACTTAAAATTCATTAGTCAATTTTATTTTAAATGCAACAGTTTTTGTTGTTGTTAGAGCTCTATGTATGTCAACGGGTCTCTGTGTATCTCTATGGGTGTCTATGTACACTACACTACTGTACACTACACTTTTATACACTACACTACTATACAGTACACTACTATACACTACACTATACACTACACTACTATACACTACACTGCTACACACTACACTACTATACACTACACTACTATACACTACACTATACACTACACTACTATACACTACACTACTATACACTACACTACTATACACTACACTGCTACACACTACACTACTATACACTACACTACTATACACTACACTATACACTACACTACTATACACTACACTACTATACACTACACTACTATACACTACACTGCTACACACTACACTACTATACACTACACTACTATACACTACACTACTATACACTACACTATACACTACACTACTATACACTACATCACTATACACTACACTGCTACACACTACACTACTATACACTAATACACTACACTACTATACACTACACTACTATACACTACACTGCTACACACTACACTACTATACACTAATACACTACACTACTATACACTACACTACTATACACTACACTACTATACACTACACTACTATACACTACACTACTATACACTACACTACTATACACTACTATACACTAATACACTACTATACACTACACTACTATACACTACTATACACTAATACACTACTATACACTACACTACTATACACTACTATACACTAATACACTACTATACACTACACTACTATACACTACTATAACCTAATACACTATTATACACTATACACTACACTATTATACACTACACTACTATACACTACACTACTATACACTACACTACTATACACTAATACACTATGCACTACTATACACTACACTACTACACACTACTATACACTACACTATACACTACTATACACTACACTATACACTACTATACACTATACACTACTATACACTATACTACTATACACTACACTACTATACACTACACTACTATACACTACACTACTATACACTACTATACACTACACTATACACTACACTACTATACACTACACTTATACACTACACTACTATACACTACACTACTATGCACTACACTACTATACACTACACTATACACTACACTACTATACACTATACACTACTACACCTATACACTACACTACTATACACTACACTACTATACACTACACTACTATACACTACACTACTATACACTACACTACTATACACTACACTACTATACACTACACTACTGTACACTACACTACTATACACTACTATACTCTAATACACTATACACTACTACTCCTATACACTACACTATTATGCACTACACTACTATACACTACACTACACACTACACTACTATACACTACACTACTATACACTACACTACTATACACTACACTACTATACACTACACTATACACTACACTACTATACACTACACTACACACTACACTACCTACATACTAACTATACACTACTACTATACACTTACACTACTATACACTACTTAACACTACACTACTATACACTACACTACTATACACTACACTACTATACACTACACTATACACTACACTACTATACACTAATACACTATTATACACTATACACTACACTACTATACACTACACTACTATACACTACACTACTATACACTACACTACTATACACTACACTACTAACACTACTATACACTAATACACTATACACTATTATACCCTACACTACTATACACTACACTACTATACACTAATACACTATGCACTACTATACACCACTACTATACTCTACTATACACTACACTACTATACACTACACTACTATACACTACACTACTATACCCTACACTACTAATACACTACTACACTACTATACACTACACTACTATACACTACACTACTATAACACTACTATACACTACACTACTATACCTCCCTACTATACACTACACTACTATACCTACCTACTACCTACACTACTATACACTACCTACTATACACTACACTACTATACCACTACACTACTATACACTACACTACTACACACTACTATACACTACACTATACACTACTATACACTACACTATACACTACTATACACTACACTATACACTACTATACACTACTATACACTACACTACTATACACTACACCACTATACACTACACCACTATACACTACACTACTATACACTACACTACTATACACTACACTACTATACACTACACTACTATACACTACACACTACTATACACTACACTACTATACACTACACCACTATACACTACACCACTATACACTACACTACTATACACTACACCACTATACACTACACCACTATACACTACACTACTATACACTACACTACTATACACTACACCACTATACACTACACCACTATACACTACACTACTATACACTACATTACACTACACTACACTATACACTACACTATACACTACTATACACTACACTATACACTACTATACACTACACTATACACTACTATACACTACTATACACTACACTACTATACACTACACCACTATACACTACACCACTATACACTACACTACTATACACTACACTACTATACACTACACTACTATACACTACACACTACTATACACTACACTACTATACACTACACCACTATACACTACACCACTATACACTACACCACTATACACTACACTACTATACACTACACCACTATACACTACACCACTATACACTACACCACTATACACTACACCACTATACACTACACTACTATACACTACATTACACTACACTACACTATACACTACACTATACACTACTATACACTACACTATACACTACTATACACTACATTACACTACACTACTATACACTATACACTACTATACACTACACTATACACTACACTATACACTACTATACACTACACTACTATACACTACTATACACTACACTATACACTACACACTGCCATACACTACACTATGCACTACACTACTAAACACTACACACTACTATACACTACAATACTATACACTACATCACTATACATTACACTATACACTACTACACACTACACTATACACTACACTACTACACTACTACACTACACTATACACTACTACACTATACACTACTACACTACTACACTACACTATACACTACTACACTACACTAATACACTACACTATACACTACACTACTACACTATACACTACTACACTACACTACTACACTACACTATATACCTTCTTGGTTCTTTCGGTAAAGTCACATAGAAGGGAAGTAACAAATAATAAAAATAAAACATAATAAAATACAATTCTCACGACGTTTCGGCCACAACGCAAGCAGCCGTCCTCAGGTGAAAACCAGGTCTGCCGAGGTGACAGCGTCTGAATGAAACGGCACACGAGCTTGGAGCATGTATATAAGCTGGGTAGGAAGGGGGTGAAAGGGCGCATTGACAAAATAATTTGCATATCAAGAGGAATTTTGAATATTTATGGGAAATGCAGGTATGTGATTAGTACTACTTATGCCCGTGCATTATGCAGGATTAGCAGCATCAAAGGGAGGGGATATGGGAAATGCAGGTATGTGAGTTAGTACTACTTATGCCCGTGCATTATGCAGGTTTAGCAGCATCAAAGTGAGGGGATATGGGAAATGCAGGTATGTGATTAGTACTACTTATGCCCGTGCATTATGCAGGATTAGCAGCATCAAAGGGAGGGGATATGGGAAATGCAGGTATGTGATTAGTACTACTTATGCCCGTGCATTATGCAGCATTAGCAGCATCACAGGGAGGGGATATGGGAAATGCAGGTATGTGATTAGTACTACTTATGCCCGTGCATTATGCAGGATTAGCAGCATCAAAGGGAGGGGATATGGGAAATGCAGGTATGTGATTAGTACTACTTATGCCCGTGCATTATGCAGCATTAGCAGCATCACAGGGAGGGGATATGGGAAATGCAGGTATGTGATTAGTACTACTTATGCCCGTGCATTATGCAGGATTAGCAGCATCAAAGGGAGGGGATATGGGAAATGCAGGTATGTGATTAGTACTACTTATGCCCGTGCATTATGCAGGATTAGCAGCATCAAAGGAGGGGATATGGGAAATGCAGGTATGTGATTAGTACTACTTATGCCCGTGCATTATGCAGGATTAGCAGCATCAAAGGGAGGGGATATGGGAAATGCAGGTATGTGATTAGTACTACTTATGCCCGTGCATTATGCAGGATTAGCAGCATCAAAGGGAGGGGATATGGGAAATGCAGGTATGTGATTAGTACTACTTATGCCCGTGCATTATGCAGGATTAGCAGCATCAAAGGGAGGGGATATGGGAAATGCAGGTATGTGATTAGTACTACTTATGCCCGTGCATTATGCAGGATTAGCAGCATCAAAGGGAGGGGATATGGGAAATGCAGGTATGTGATTAGTACTACTTATGCCCGTGCATTATGCAGGATTAGCAGCATCACAGGGAGGGGATATGGGAAATGCAGGTATGTGATTAGTACTACTTATGCCCGTGCATTATGCAGGATTAGCAGCATCAAAGGGAGGGGATAGGGGTAGCATTAATAAAGGGAAGAAATGTTAATAGTATGTAGCTGCAGTAACTAAAACCATCACATAAACAACTAAAGTATAAACTTCATAGTATCATCAGTATACTTACTATACTCTACAATAAGCTGAGTTACTAACAGTAAGTAATACATTGCAATTCTACGTCGTAAAAAATATAATATGCTTCCAGCTAAACTTTTTTTCTCTTACATCGCACGAGTCTACACCGTACTATATACTGCCATAGACAAACCCAACATTAAACTATATATTGTATTGCTATAAACCACCTGTAATATTACACCGTATTATTCTACCCACCCTAATGTGCATCGCACTGCTGTATATTCACTATACAATTACGGTAGTATATATTACTTTGTACATTGTATTAAGCATATACATTTGTATACTATTTGTTATTATACGCTGTACCATTGACCGTCGTGTGAAAGATGCTAAGAGGAAGCAACGAAATATGTCAATGGGAGAGTAGTGTGGGAGAAATTTGCAGCGGAGCAAAGAATCCATTCCCTGCGGAGAATACAAGATATCTAGTCAATGCCAGTGAGTGGAACGCGGTCTGAGAGTCACCGTAAACGTGAACACAATCAGTTAAGATCCAAAATGGTTTATTACGTCCTTCCAATGATTGCCGAGAGCCAGAATCCATCTTCTCGGTTAAAATTGTCTCTGTGTTTGTATATGTGGATCGCCTCATGAACGAATCTCTCATGGTAGCCAGATGGCTTGCAGAGAACCTCTGTCTTTGAGAAGTCAATATCATTTGAGCCCACTGAATTGTAACAGTGATCTGCCACGGCTGAGGTGTTTGTCCTACCATGTTTCAAGTCTGCTTGGCGTACGTGTTTGAGTTCACTGCCAATGTGTTCCTGGTCGGAGATGCATTGGGCTCTATGGTATAGAGTCTTGATGAGGGAATTCTTCTGGGATGGATGGTGGTGGGAATCCGGTTTTAGGTAAGCATCCGTATGGGTGGCTTTCCCGTAGACCAGGGGTCGGCAACCTACGGCTCCGGAGCCGCATGCGGCTCTTTACGGGCTGCTTCTTAACGATGAGTACGTATGTACTCAGATGCATTGCGGCTCTTGAAATACTGAATTTTGTACCGAATTGGAAAGAAATGGCTCTTCTTGTTATTTTGGTTGCCGACCCCTGCCGTAGACAGAGTGGCTCATTGAACCATCAGGTCTCCTTTTAATTAGGACATCCAAAAAGGGTAGCTTGCCATCTTTTTCGACTTCCATGGTGAATCTGATGGCTGGGTGTATGGAATTGATGTGGTCGAGGAATTGGTCCAGAGCAGGCCGGCCGTGTGGCCAGATGACAAAAGTGTCGTCTACGTACCTCTTCCACGAGGTCGGGCGTAGAGTGGCGGTCTGGATGGTGTCAGTCTCAAATTTCTCCAGGAAAACGTTGGCTACAACCGGAGATGGGGAGGAGCCCATTGGGGTGCCCTCAGTTTGCTTGTAGAAAGTTCCATTCCAGGTGGAGCATGTGTTGGTTAAGCAACGTCTCACCAGGGGGGCTACCCCAGCATTCAGTCCTTGATGAACCAAGTCTTCAATGATTGCGATGGTGTCAGGTACAGGAACTTTGGTGACTCTGTGACTCCGCCCCCAGCAATGGCCGCCCGCCTGCTGCTGCTGTTGTTGCCGCGGCAACACTATACACTACTACACTATACACTACTACACTATACACTACTACACTATACACTACTACACTATACACTACTACACTATACACTACTACACTATACACTACTACACTATACACTACACTATACACTACTACACTATACACTACTACACTATACACCACTACATTATACACTACTACACTATACACTACTACACTATACACTACTACACTACACTACACTACACTATACACTACTACACTATACACTACTACACTATACACTACTACACTATACACTACTACACTATACACTACTACACTATACTATACACTACACTATACACTACACTACTACACTATACACTACTACACTATACACTACACTATACACTACTACACTATACACTACTACACTATACACTACTACACTATACACTACTACACTATACACTACACTATACACTACTACACTATACACTACTACACTATACACTACTACACTATACACTACTACACTATACACTACTACACTATACACTACTACACTACACTATACAACTATACTATACACTACACTATACACTACACTATACACTACACTATACACTACACTATACACTACTACACTACACTATACACTACACTATACACTACACTACACTATACTCTACTCACGACTCTGTGACTCCGCCCACAGCAATGGCCGCCCGCCTGCTGCTGTTGCCGCGGCAACGCCGGGGCCTGCTGAGGCTGGCGGCACGAAGCCTGAGCTCGCCTGGGGGTCACCCTTGCCACCACCAGCAACTCACCTCATCATCATTCAACTCATTCAACTCATTCAACTCATTCACCTCTTCATTCTCCTCCATCCCACGCTTTTCATCGTCCCCCACCTCCTTCCTCACCTCGTCCACCTTCCCCACCTCCTCCACCTCCTGCTTTTCCACCTCCACCACCTACTCCACCACCTCCACCTTCCTCACCTCCCCTACCACCTCCTCCACCTCCACCACCACCTTTTCCTCCTCATCGCCTACCTACTCCACCTCCTCCTCCACCTCCACCTCCTCCACCTCCTCCTCCACCTCCTCCACCTCCCCCACCTCCTTCCTCACCCCCTCCACCTTCCTCAACTCCACCTTCACCCCCACGTCCACCTTCTCCACCTCCTCCACGTCCACCTTCTCCACCCCCACGTCCACCTTCTCCACCACCTCCACCTCGTCGCCATCTTCTCGTCGCCCCGCGGGCCCCAAGGAGGACGCCGCTCGCCACAGGAGGAGGGACGTGATGAGCAGATCCTTCCTGGGGGACGTCACGGTGAGTGTCGTCATCAGTGACGTCATCAGTGTCGTCATCAGTGTCGTCATCAGTGACGTCATCAGTGTCGTCATCAGTGTCGTCATCAGTGTCGTCATCAGTGTCGTCATCAGTGTCGTCATCAGTGTCGTCATCAGTGTCGTCATCAGTGTCGTCATCAGTGTCGTCGTCAGTGTCGTCATCAGTGTCGTCATCAGTGTCGTCATCAGTGTCGTCATCAGTGTCGTCGTCAGTGTCGTCATCAGTGTCGTCGTCAGTGTCGTCATCAGTGTCGTCATCAGTGTCGTCATCAGTGTCGTCATCAGTGTCGTCGTCAGTGTCGTCATCAGTGTCGTCATCAGTGTCGTCATCAGTGTCGTCAACAGTGTCGTCATCAGTGTCGTCATCAGTGTCGTCGTCAGTGTCGTCATCAGTGTCGTCATCAGTGTCGTCATCAGTGTCGTCATCAGTGTCGTCATCATGTCGTCAACAGTGTCGTCATCAGTGTCGTCATCAGTGACGTCATCAGTGTCGTCATCAGTGTCGTCAACAGTGTCGTCATCAGTGTCGTCATCATGTCGTCAGTGTCGTCATCAGTGTCGTCATCAGTGTCGTCAACAGTGTCGTCATCAGTGTCGTCAACAGTGTCGTCATCAGTGTCGTCATCAGTGACGTCATCAGTGTCGTCATCAGTGTCGTCAACAGTGTCGTCATCAGTGTCGTCATCAGTGTCGTCATCAGTGTCGTCATCAGTGTCGTCATCAGTGTCGTCATCAGTGTCGTCATCAGTGTCGTCAACAGTGTCGTCATCAGTGTCGTCATCAGTGTCGTCATCAGTGTCGTCATCAGTGTCGTCATCAGTGTCGTCATCAGTGTCGTCAACAGTGTCGTCATCAGTGTCGTCATCAGTGTCGTCATCAGTGTCGTCAACAGTGTCGTCATCAGTGTCGTCGTCAGTGTCGTCATCAGTGTCGTCATCAGTGTCGTCATCAGTGTCGTCAACAGTGTCGTCATCAGTGTCGTCATCAGTGACGTCATCAGTGTCGTCATCAGTGTCGTCAACAGTGTCGTCATCAGTGTCGTCATCAGTGTCGTCATCAGTGTCGTCATCATGTCGTCATCAGGTCGTCATCATCAGTGTCGTCATCAGTGTCGTCATCAGTGTCGTCATCAGTGTCGTCAACAGTGTCGTCATCAGTGTCGTCGTCAGTGTCGTCATCAGTGTCGTCATCAGTGTCGATCAGTGTCGTCATCAGTGTCGTCAACAGTGTCGTCATCAGTGTCGTCATCAGTGTCGTCATCAGTGTCGTCAACAGTGTCGTCATCAGTGTCGTCGTCAGTGTCGATCAGTGTCGTCATCAGTGTCGTCATCAGTGTCGTCATCAGTGTCGTCAACAGTGTCGTCATCAGTGTCGTCATCAGTGACGTCATCAGTGTCGTCATCAGTGTCGTCAACAGTGTCGTCATCAGTGTCGTCATCAGTGTCGTCATCAGTGTCGTCATCAGTGTCGTCATCAGTGTCGTCAACAGTGTCGTCAACAGTGTCGTCATCAGTGTCGTCATCAGTGTCGTCATCAGTGACGTCATCAGTGTCGTCATCAGTGTCGTCAACAGTGTCGTCATCAGTGTCGTCATCAGTGTCGTCATCAGTGTCGTCATCAGTGACGTCATCAGTGTCGTCATCAGTGTCGTCAACAGTGTCGTCAACAGTGTCGTCAACAGTGACGTCATCAGTGTCGTCATCAGTGTCGTCAACAGTGACGTCATCAGTGTCGTCATCAGTGTCGTCAACAGTGTCGTCATCAGTGTCGTCATCAGTGTCGTCATCAGTGTCGTCAACAGTGTCGTCAACAGTGTCGTCATCAGTGTCGTCATCAGTGTCGTCATCAGTGACGTCATCAGTGTCGTCATCAGTGTCGTCAACAGTGACGTCATCAGTGTCGTCATCAGTGTCGTCAACAGTGTCGTCATCAGTGACGTCATCAGTGTCGTCATCAGTGTCGTCAACAGTGTCGTCATCAGTGTCGTCATCAGTGTCGTCGTCAGTGTCGTCAACAGTGTCGTCAACAGTGTCATCATCAGTGTCATCATCAGTGTCGTCATCAGTGTCGTCGTCAGTGTCGTCATCAGTGTCGTCATCAGTGTCGTCAACAGTGTCGTCATCAGTGTCGTCAACAGTGTCGTCATCAGTGTTGTCAACAGTGTCGTCATCAGTGTCGTCATCAGTGTCGTCATCAGTGTCGTCAACAGTGTCGTCAACAGTGTCGTCATCAGTGTCGTCAACAGTGTCGTCAACAGTGTCGTCAACAGTGTCGTCAACAGTGTCGTCAACAGTGTCGTCAACAGTGTCGTCATCAGTGTCGTCATCAGTGTCGTCAACAGTGTCGTCATCAGTGTCGTCAACAGTGTCGTCATCAGTGTCGTCATCAGTGTCGTCATCAGTGACGTCATCAGTGTCGTCAACAGTGTCGTCATCAGTGTCGTCATCAGTGTCGTCAACAGTGTCGTCATCAGTGTCGTCAACAGTGTCGTCATCAGTGTCGTCAACAGTGTCGTCAACAGTGTCGTCAACAGTGTCGTCAACAGTGTCGTCAACAGTGTCGTCAACAGTGTCGTCATCAGTGTCGTCATCAGTGTCGTCATCAGTGTCGTCAACAGTGTCGTCAACAGTGTCGTCAACAGTGTTGTCATCAGTGTTGTCATCAGTGTTGTCAACAGTGTCGTCATCAGTGTTGTCATCAGTGTCGTCATCAGTGTCGTCATCAGTGTCGTCATCAGTGTTGTCATCAGTGTCGTCATCAGTGTCGTCATCAGTGTTGTCATCAGTGTCGTCATCAGTGTCATCAACAGTGTCGTCATCAGTGTCGTCAACAGTGTCGTCATCAGTGTCGTCAACAGTGTCGTCAACAGTGTCGTCAACAGTGTCGTCATCAGTGTCGTCATCAGTGTCATCAACAGTGTCGTCATCAGTGTCATCAACAGTGTCGTCATCAGTGTCGTCATCAGTGTTGTCATCAGTGTCGTCATCAGTGTCGTCATCAGTGTTGTCATCAGTGTCGTCATCAGTGTCATCAACAGTGTCGTCATCAGTGTCGTCAACAGTGTTGTCAACAGTGTCGTCATCAGTGTCATCAACAGTGTCATCAACAGTGTCGTCATCAGTGTCGTCATCAGTGTTGTCATCAGTGTCGTCATCAGTGTCGTCATCAGTGTTGTCATCAGTGTCGTCATCAGTGTCATCAACAGTGTCATCAACAGTGTCGTCATCAGTGTCGTCATCAGTGTTGTCATCAGTGTCGTCATCAGTGTCGTCAACAGTGTCATCAACAGTGTCGTCATCAGTGTCGTCAACAGTGTTGTCAACAGTGTCGTCAACAGTGTCGTCAACAGTGTCGTCATCAGTGTCGTCATCAGTGTCGTCATCAGTGTCGTCATCAGTGTCGTCAAACAGTGTCGTCAACAGTGTCGTCAACAGTGTCGTCATCAGTGTCGTCATCAGTGTCGTCAACAGTGTCGTCAACAGTGTCGTCAACAGTGTCGTCATCAGTGTCGTCATCAGTGTCGTCATCAGTGTCGTCATCAGTGTCGTCATCAGTGTCATCAACAGTGTCGTCATCAGTGTCGTCAACAGTGTCGTCATCAGTGTCGTCATCAGTGTCGTCAACAGTGTCGTCAACAGTGTCGTCATCAGTGTCGTCATCAGTGTCGTCATCAGTGTCGTCATCAGTGTCATCAACAGTGTCGTCATCAGTGTCGTCATCAGTGTCGTCATCAGTGTCGTCATCAGTGTCGTCAACAGTGTCGTCAACAGTGTCGTCAACAGTGTCGTCATCAGTGTCGTCGTCAGTGTCGTCATCAGTGTCGTCATCAGTGTCGTCAACAGTGTCGTCATCAGTGTCGTCATCAGTGTCGTCAACAGTGTCGTCATCAGTGTCGTCATCAGTGTCGTCATCAGTGTCGTCATCAGTGTCGTCATCAGTGTCGTCATCAGTGTCGTCAACAGTGTTGTCATCAGTGTCGTCATCAGTGTCGTCATCAGTGTCGTCATCAGTGTCGTCATCAGTGTCGTCATCAGTGTCGTCGTCAGTGTCGTCATCAGTGTCGTCATCAGTGTCGTCAACAGTGTTGTCATCAGTGTCGTCATCAGTGTCGTCAACAGTGTCGTCAACAGTGTCGTCAACAGTGTTGTCATCAGTGTCGTCAACAGTGTCGTCATCAGTGTCGTCATCAGTGTCGTCAACAGTGTCGTCAACAGTGTCGTCATCAGTGTCGTCATCAGTGTCGTCATCAGTGTCGTCATCAGTGTCATCAACAGTGTCGTCATCAGTGTCGTCATCAGTGTCGTCATCAGTGTCGTCATCAGTGTCGTCAACAGTGTCGTCAACAGTGTCGTCAACAGTGTCGTCATCAGTGTCGTCGTCAGTGTCGTCATCAGTGTCGTCATCAGTCGTCAACAGTGTCGTCATCAGTGTCGTCATCAGTGTCGTCAACAGTGTCGTCATCAGTGTCGTCATCAGTGTCGTCATCAGTGTCGTCATCAGTGTCGTCATCAGTGTCGTCATCAGTGTCGTCAACAGTGTTGTCATCAGTGTCGTCATCAGTGTCGTCATCAGTGTCGTCATCAGTGTCGTCATCAGTGTCGTCATCAGTGTCGTCGTCAGTGTCGTCATCAGTGTCGTCATCATGTCGTCAACAGTGTTGTCATCAGTGTCGTCATCAGTGTCGTCATCAGTGTCGTCATCAGTGTCGTCAACAGTGTCGTCATCAGTGTCGTCAACAGTGTCGTCATCAGTGTCGTCATCAGTGTCGTCATCAGTGTCGTCATCAGTGTCGTCAACAGTGTTGTCATCAGTGTCGTCATCAGTGTCGTCAACAGTGTCGTCATCAGTGTCGTCAACAGTGTCGTCAACAGTGTCGTCATCAGTGTCGTCAACAGTGTCGTCATCAGTGTCGTCAACAGTGTCGTCAACAGTGTCGTCAACAGTGTCGTCAACAGTGTCGTCAACAGTGTCGTCATCAGT